CAGACTCGGCGGTACCCCAGTTCCATCTCTTCATCACCCCAAAAGGACCTGACTCAGGCAAAGGTAGTAGCCGCATGAGCCCCTGGATAGAGGTTAGAGAAACAGTGGGCAAAAGTCTCTTAAGTATTAAATATTAGCATTTTACTTCTCAGAAAGTGGTGCCAAGAAATCTTGGAAGTGCTGATTGAGAAGCTGCAAACACATTTCTGTGATTGGTAAAATAAAAGTTTTCAGCAATCCTGGAGACTCAGTCAGAAAACCATTTTCTTTGCAGTAAAGATTGTCTCTAGTAGAATCAAATATCTGTCCTTTCTTGGAACATCTAATTGCTAGATTTTTGGGTACATATCAGTAGATCTTACTTTGCTTTTTCTTGGCTTTGTGAGAAGGACAGCATATGCTAGAGGTGGTATTGAGTGACTGTCTTGTGCAGCCAGCAGGATAAATGGTTTGGCTGAACTGTCATTCCCACATCCTCCCACAAAGATCATTGGGTTTGGACTTTGGGCCTTTTATGTACCTGTTTTGGGGTTGGGGTATCTTCACCTGTTTGGGGGTTGTCTTCTGTTGCTGTTAGCCACACAGGCTTAGTATATCTGGTTTTTATTGTTTTTAATTTTTGTTTTGTTTGTTTGTGTAGTCTTGTATTAATCCTTTAGTTAACTAGCAGAATTTCTCCCAAATGTTTGTTAACTAGAATTAAGCTGAGTTAGTATTAAACTTCCCCCATTCACATGAGTTTGTCTGTTCTTGCTCCTCTGTTTTCTTGCTCCAGAATGGCTTCAGTTCTGTGCAGGGCACGCAGTTACAGACCACGCAATCTGTTGAAGGTGAGTATTCTCCAGGCTTTTTATTCTCAGTTGTTTTTTTCTTTCTCTTAATATTTTTGTATTTCTTAAAAGTGAAAAGAGCTCTGGCACGAGGACTGGTTAGTCTTAATTCTACTTTGCTGCTTAATCTCCAGCCTTCCTAAGTTTCAGGTTCTCTGTCTTAAAATGGTAACCATTTTATTGGTTCCCGTCACTGGACAAATGAAATTCACATGCAAAGTGCCTAGAATTAAAAAAGATTATACCATTATTAAATAACTCATACTGTTGTCTTTGGGGCAGCATAGGACTGTAGTGATTCTTCACGTTAGACATTTTCTTTTCTTCTGGTGAGATGGATTCTTTTATTTCTAGGTGCTACAGGCTCTGCAGTGAAATCTGACTCACCTTCCACTTCTAGCATCCCCCCTCTCAATGAAACGGTATCTGCAGCTTCCTTACTGACAACAACCAATCAGCACTCATCCTCCTTGGGTGGCTTGAGCCACAGTGAGGAAATTCCAAATACCACCACCACGCAACACAGCAGGTGATTTGGGGTGAGGATGGAGTTTGGGGTGAGGATGGAGCTCTCTGGTTCTTTTTCTTTCTAACTGGCAAAGACCACATTAGCCCCACTTTTGGGTAAATGGGTGACCTGAAAACTGTGAGAGATAAAGACAAAGAGACTTATTTTATTTTTTCCTTTCAGCATCTACTTTTGTTTTAACTGTTGCTTACTATCCCTGGCTGGCTCTTGTGCTTATTACCATTTTCTCAAGACTTTCTTGTTCCTATGTTCTACCTTATTTTCTTGCTTGTGTTCTTGATTAAAGCTCCAGGCCAGGTGGCCATAGCACTGTTGTTGATGGCACCCTCTTTCCTTACAGCACGTTATCTACACAGCAGAATACCCTTTCATCATCAACATCTTCTGGACGCACTTCGACATCCACTCTTTTGGTAAGTATGATGCTGAAAGGAAGTGTGGTTCTTAAGCTTTTCTTAAACTAGCCAACCCTAAGATTCTGCCAAGAGGGAATTCTTGATCATTTCTTCATGAGATGATAAAACTCATTGAATTGAGGTTGCAGAGAAACGAATAAGGGGTTGTTGGGAAGCCAAAAGAAGCCAAAGAATCCAGAAATAATGCAGAGCTATGAATCATTCCTTAAAGCCTGGAAGGGACACCCTCCATCCCCCATTCCTGTGTTGAAGATAAGGTATATGTTACAAAAGAACATACCTTTCTAGGGGCTAGTGGTATAGCTCAGTGGTACTGTATGGGTTAGTGTGCATGAAGCCCTTGGTTTAATCCCCAGCACCAAAAAAAAGGAGAGTGGGGTGGAAAGAAAAGGACAAATCTTGCTAACTGGTAGAGCTTGTGTTTCTCTTTCCTTAAAACACAACGTCAAGTTTAAAGTCAGCTGTATGTTATTCTAGCCCATGAACTAGAGAAGAAAAGTGTGTGAGAGAAGGCTATGATACATTTTTCAGATTTCAACTTTATTTGACAGGTCAACCAGTGTTGGTCTCCACCAACACTGGAGTTGTCACCACCCACTTTGCTGTCTTTCTTAACAGGATGATGGTATATGAGTCTGTATTAATAACCATCCTTGTCACATGAGTCTTTAGAAACATGCAGCTAGAGAGTTTTTGTACCTTGGTAGAGGAGACTCTGTTATTATGCCCTGACCTTTTTAATTGGGAAGTTGTTGTGATGATCATATTCAAGAGAATAGATTGTTTATCATTCCTAACCTATATTGCTAATTGGTGCTTCCTTCATCTCTCTTCCATTGCTCCTCCCTTTTGAAGCACACAAGTGTGGAGAGTGAGGCGAATCTCCATTCTTCCTCCAGCACTTTCTCTACCACGTCCAGCACAGTCTCTGCACCTCCCCCAGTGGTCAGTGTCTCTTCCAGTCTCAACAGTGGCAGCAGTCTGGGCCTTAGCCTAGGCAGCAACTCCACTGTCACAGCCTCAACTCGAAGCTCGGTTGCTACAACTTCAGGTACCTTTGCATTAGCTGCATGGCATTCCTCTAGGATGGAGGGAATCAATAATTGTGTGATAGCATAAAAATGTTTTTTCTCTTTTAGGAAAAGCTCCTCCCAACCTTCCTCCTGGGGTCCCGCCATTGTTGCCTAATCCATATATTATGGCTCCAGGGCTGTTACATGCCTACCCAGTAAGTAGGATTGAAGGGTTTGTTCTAAAAGGTGGTGTTGGTGGGACTATTCTTTATAGTTCTGGCTTCAGGCAGTAGACTGTAATTACAATACAGAAAAAAATGCCACATATAAACAAATAGGTTTCTTGGGTGGGGGTGGGTAGTAGGGATTGGACTTGGGAGCAACCAACCACTGAGCCACATCCCCAGCCCTATTTTTTTTTTAATATTTATTTTTTAGTTGCATTTGGACACAGTACCTTTTATTTTATTTATTTATTTTCATGTGGTGCCAAGGATCGAACCCCAGGGCCTCACACGTACTCACCACTGAGCCACAACCCCAGCCCTATTTTTTATTTTATTTAGAGACAGGTCTCACTGAGTTGCTTAGTGCCTGGCATTTCTGAGGCTTGCTTTGAACTTGGGATCCTCCTATCTCAGCCTCCTGAGCTGCTGCGATTACAGGCATGCGCCATTGCACCTAGCACAAGTAGGTTTTGAATCTTTGTAGCTTTGGAAAAAACAATCATTTTTAGAGAGGAAAGACTAAACTTGGGCAAGACCCTCTATTGTGTATTTGCTCTGTGTGAAATAGAAATTCTAGGCCTCAGATGCCAAAGGCTAAAACGTTCATCTGGAATTCCTTTCAGTTTCTTGGAGAATTGTTTTTTGTAGATGAACTGATTTCCTTACTCTGGGGATCTTTGCTGCCTCTAACCTGGTCAGAAGAGAGTTCCCCAGCTCACTGTGGAATTGTCTTGAGAATAAATGGCTGACATTGTTGACTTTTTTTCTCAGGTATATCTTCTGTTACCTCCAGGTATTCAGTACCTCTTAAGATGGAGGGTATGAAAATTCTATTAAAAGACAACTGTACTTCCCCTGAAAGTGGAAGTCTAGATAAACATCATACAGACAAGATTGTCCAAATAACACTGTTGGACATTGTTTAACAACACTGCTTTATCTTGAAATTGGGAGAAAACAAGAGTAAAATCTGAATCTTTCATGGAGAAAATAAATTTTAAACCAGATGTATAGATTAGAGAGTAAAGGCAGGAAGATTCCATTCATAGAATAGAGAGAACAGATAGCTGTTCATATACTTGTGTCTATTGTACTGCTTCCCAGAAATGGTCTAGATCAATCAGTAGTAAGTAGCTCAACGAAAGTTTCAAGATCTTTCATTAATCCTTTAATCTCTACTTTTACTTTCCCTTTAAGTAAATTGAAGGAAATAAATCTTTTTTTTTTTCCTTTTGGTAGTATTGGGGATTGAGCCCAGGGCCTTGTTCGTGCTAAGGAAGCACTGAACTACATCCCTAGCCCAAGGAAATAATCTATGTCCTGTTCAAAGAAGGACGGTGAATAATGTATTGAATTATCTTGCTTTTTAGCTCCTTGGGTTTTTTGTTTTTAATCATTTATGACCATTTCTCATTAATGTCACATGCCTTTGTCTTTCAGCCACAAATGTATGGTTATGATGACTTGCAGATGCTTCAGACAAGATTTCCATTGGTAAGTATGTGGAAGGGAACTCTGGTAAAGGAGGTGATCTAAAAATTAGTTTTTTTTTTTTTTTTGGTGCTTGGGATCAAACCTAGGTTCTCACATATGCTAAAGCACATGCTATTACTGAGCTACACCCCCAGCCCAAGTGGACTACTACAACTATACATTTTCTACCAATGTCATATCTTGTTTTTTAATATTTTGTGTCATTAGAGATTCAACTCAGGAGCTAGTGCACGCCAGGCAAGCACTTTACCATTTAGGTATACCCCACTCCCCAGAGATGTGAAATCTTTGAAGTAAACACATTTTAACCTACTCTGTAGCCTAATAAAGTACTCAGGAGCTCTCAAGATGCTTTCAAGATGCTTTCTATATGTCTCAAACACTTAAAATTACAGAAAAAAAAAATATGTTTTTCAAGATAAGTTTGGCATATGCTTTTAGAGATGATGTGTGGAGGTTGAAAATATTATTGGTCCTGATGGAACTTTAGCAGGCATATCCGTAGACCTTGCCTGGCTCTGCTTATGGCCAGGCAGGGGGGACAGTATATGCAAGAATAATATGGAGTTTATGCAAACTCAAACCAGCTTCTTCGGTAGCTGGGTAAATCGCAGTACTCCCGACATTTTTGTGCTTCTCACCTGTGGTTTTCATGCTGGAGAATGAATAGCATTGAGTCTGTGCTCTTTTGTTACTCGGTTCTAGGATTACTACAGCATCCCGTTTCCCACGCCCACCACTCCGTTGACCGGGAGGGATGGTAGCCTGGCCAGCAACCCTTATTCTGGTATGACTGGGACGGGGCCAAATAAAGGGAGAGGGAGATTGTATTGGGATGAATGGCAAAACCCTGCTTAATAGCAAGAAAGGACCTGGTTCTCACCTTACATGTCTCTGGTAGAAGTTTAAAATGGACGTGATGAATTGGTTGGTAGATTCACAGTCCTGTTAAAGATGAGCGTTTGGCAGCTTTTTTCCCTTTCCATCTCACTTGTCTGTGATTTCTAAATCCTTCTCTCTCTCTCTCTCACACACACACACACACATCTTACCTAAAAACATTTTTTTCCCCTTTGGTTCTGGGGATTGAACCTAGGGTCTCACATCTATACTAAGCCTGTGCTCCATCTTCTGCCCCTCCAGATGACATTATAACTTAGGTTTTTCAGCTTGTTCCAGAAAGTAGTGGTTGAACTGGTCTTCTCTGCTTCTGTACATTGCTCACAGTGGCAGTCTCATTGTCTTGCTAGACCTTCTTTTTTGGCCTGACTTTCTTGGCATCCTCCTTGATCATTTTTTCTTATCTGTCTCTGTCCCTTCAAGTGTAGCATGGAGTGTTTCCCATGGAAGAAAATAGGGGCTGGGAGTGAAAGAATACAAGAAGGTAGAGAAATAATGTAGGAACTTTTTCCTGGGATCTTCTTTTTGCTATAGCAAATATACTCAGCAATAGTCTTTAACTGGCACTGTAGTCTATACTCAACTATAGTTTATACTCAACAATAGTCTTAACTGGCACTATGCTAAATGTATTCTGAGCAATGCTGAATGGAGCTTCAAAGAAATATAATTTAAGGAATTGAATTTTAAAAGTCTTTGAACAGGATCTCTTGGAATCATGTGAAACCAAGAGGTGACTTGTGTTGCAGTGAAAGAAACGGGTACATTTAGCTTCTTCTGTCACAGGTGACCTCACAAAGTTCGGTCGTGGGGATGCCTCCTCCCCAGCCCCGGCCACAACCTTGGCCCAACCCCAACAGAACCAGACGCAGACTCACCACACCACGCAGCAGACATTCCTGAACCCGGCGCTGCCTCCTGGCTACAGTTACACCAGCCTGCCATACTACACAGGGGTCCCGGGCCTCCCCAGCACCTTCCAGTATGGGCCTGCTGTGTTCCCTGTGAGTGCCTAGCCTTGGTCTCCTTGTGGTGAAGGCTTCTATCCCTGACACTATCCTAGCTGTGCTTTCAAAGCTAGATGAGTCTAGTAATGAATGAGGGAGGAACAGTTTCCACATTGGGCTTTCTTCTGGCCTGGGAAGGGGGAGTGGGATTGGAATTGGTTGAATTATAATAGGGATTAACTTTTTCTAGAATTAGCCAGAGGGGAATGTGATACCATACAGCTTTGCTTTCCTCAGATGGCCATGTATTCCCTGATAGCACTCCCCCTTTTCCTTCCTTCAAATTGCCTCTTGATTTCAAAGGTAGATTATGGAAATATTAGTAAGGATCTTATTTCACTATTCAAATTATGGCCAGCCTAAATCAGGATTCATAGCCACCTGAACACCTGGGCCCTGGAGTAGGACAGGTGAAACTGATGGTGCATGCTGCCATTTCACTGCAGTTCTGGCCCTTTTGCTCTTCAGGTGGCTCCTACCTCTTCCAAGCAGCATGGTGTGAATGTCAGTGTGAATGCATCAGCCACCCCTTTCCAACAGCCGAGTGGATATGGATCTCATGGATACAATACTGGTAAGCTCCCCGTGGCCCTGGTTCAGTGTCTCTGTGAGGTGTTACTGGGTTGGTGAGGGTGTTCTGCTCTCCACATATGATTATTGATGCTTGGCTGAATTGGATATCTGGGAGCATCATCAGCAGAGGCTCTTGACTCTAGGAAATGCTGTTACTACACATGATTAGAATGCTCAGGGGCATTTTTGGCCGCTAAAATATGTTGTCTGGCCTAAACTTTGGGTTAAAAGGAGGACAGGGCCCTAAGATTTTGCTGAGATATCAGTGGAGGCAAGTGTTGTGGCACTGTATAAAAGAGGATATATTCACTGAAAAGAAAGGATAAATGCTTTCATAGCTAACAATATGATTAATAGGCTTGGCTTAAGTCTTTTTGTAGTACTATTATTATTACTATTCCCCTTTCATTCCTAACTAGAAGACCTAAGATATGGAGAGAGAGGATAGGCATGACCACGCAGTAGAGACAGAATTAGACTGGGAGGTTCCTTCGTTTGTATGACTGGTCTTCTTAAAAAGCCTATTTGCATATCTGATGGCAGGGAGAGAATTGTAGGAATCCTCTGGATAAGTAATGACCTAAAAGATACTTAGCTTATCACTTATTTCCATATCTGACATCCATGCTCCACTTTTGAAGGTGGAAGTGGAGGAGACATTGAATAAAACCGTTTCATCTACATTTTTCAGTGACTTACAGGCATATATGAGGAGGAGCCTATTGTAGTTGCTAGGGGTTGGGGTTGAGGATTGTCTTTTCAAAGCTCAGTTAGTTTCAAGGTGATTTGGATGGAGCAACATCTGTGTGGGCTCCAGATGAGTAAATTGCTCAACATTTTATTTATTTTTTGGTACTGAGGATTGAACCCAGAGACATTTTACCACTGAGCTATATCCCCAGTCCTTTTTATTTTTTGAGATAGGGTCTCACTAAGTTGCTGAGACTGGCCTCAAACTTAGAAGCCTCCTGCTTCAGCCTCCTAAATTGCTAGGATTAGAGACATGCATCAATGCACCCAGCTCAAAATTTTCAGTAATTGGGAAACTGTCTTAAGCTGAGCACAGAAGGTAATAAAGACTAGTTTTAGGAATTAATAGCCAGGTGGAGCTTTGGACTGTGCCTTATGACTTAAGAGTGGGTCATAATAAATTTTAAAAATCCTGAGAAAAGCCCCATTAAGATTTACTACCCAGGTTCTTTGGGGCCACTGCTGTCACTGAGTAAGGTCTTGTTGATGATGGGAGGATTATAAGCCTTTTGACTTGGCCCCATTCCAGGAACATTAAAATTAAACTTCAGCTGGTCCAGGTATGAGAATTTTCAGAGGTAAGGTAGGTGGTTGATAATGTAAGACAGTTGGCATATCTGATTCTGGAAATCCTAGCTTCTTACCTCCCTTAATATTTCAGAAACCTGTTAGTTCTTTGAGAACCCCCAATTCCCAACCCCACAGAGGGCTCTTGTCATTCCATTCCTCATCAACCTCTAAATTCATGTATTTTTATGTATTTGATTCCTTTTAGGAAGAAAATATCCACCCCCTTACAAGCATTTCTGGACGGCTGAGAGCTAATTTGGCCCAAGGCTGGGGGCTGTGTTTTGTGTGTGTGTATAAATTTGCACTGAAGTCTTGTTTCAGAAACCAGACCACTGAGGAGAGCCTGCTGAGCTGAGGCCATGGCCTGCGTGGCTTGGGGAAATGAGTTGGTGGATATCTTCTGGGCTTTTGAACTTGCCCCCTCCCCATTTCCCTCTCCCCCTTGTGTCTGACCCTGTCTTACCCATTTCGAGTTCAAGCGGTGCAGCACCTCCGAAGCATCAATGCACACACCTGCTGTTGCTTTTGATTTCTGGAAGGCATGTAGTTTCAACTTGTAACAAAAATATTTGTAGTCTTCAATAAACTGTGGTATTTCTTTAGCTAACTCTGGCGTTCTTTCCGTGCATGTCTTTCTGGACACTAGGAACCAGTGTTGTATTGTGGATGAAGGGTGGAGGGTGGCCTTTTAATTCAGACCCCAGCATAGGCAAAGAGCTGTTAACTTTTCTGTATGGTTGTTTTTAAGGTGGGAGGAGGGGAAACAACCTCAGTTTTCCAGCCTGTTGATTGGTTGGTGAAGGAGGCTACTTATAAAATACCTGATTCCCATGCTTATATCTCTTCACTTTTCCATTTGGATCTTCCCTTTTTGCTTCTGACATAAGCAGAGGAGAAAGGACAAAAAGGTTTATGGAGAGAAAAGCAAAAAGAGATGGTGTTCTAGGCTGTCGATAGGGAAGCATTTTCCAAGATTTAATTCCCACATCTGTTTCCCAAAGACCGACTGGCTGATTGAGATCTGATAAATCATTAGTGATCAGCTAGTTGATGACTCAGGTTCTGTGGAAACTGTGCTAGCCTGGAACATTGTTCTTATCCTTTGATGGTTTCTCAGAGATTGTGGATTATTAGTCATTTTGCACTTGTAGGTGTAGCAGAGGATGTGTGGGAGAGATTTGATTAGACATCCTAAGTATGGAAATTCTAATCACTACTCGGTCCACCATCTACTAGTACACCATCAGCCCTTTGGTTTATAGAGTTAACTTAGATGACCATCTTTGGTTAATTGAAAACCAAAGTGTTCAGCTTTCGTTGTATTTGTTTCCAGCCCTCTAGAGTCATTTTGCTCTGTGGAGGGTGATCAGCTTTCCCAGGGCCTGTCATATTAGGAAAGAATGGTTCTTGCTTCTCCTCCCTACCATGCACATTCTGTTGGAATGATTGTCACTGTTTGGGAGTGGGTATAGGCACGACATAATATAGGAAAGAAAAAGGGAAACCTTTATCTAGGCTGAGCATAATTGTAGTATAGGGTCGGGAAATCAATACCCATTATTTTCCTAGGTTTTCTAATGGTTACCTTGAGGCTATTATGGTGACTACACAGTATTCTTGGAGGCGGGGGTCTGCGTTTTCTAGTTCCTTAACCTCATATCCAATTTAAGACCTCTGGACTAGAAGCTGTATTTTAGCTATTCCAGTCTCTGCACAGAATAAGACAAGGTAGGGGTATAGTACAATTAAATTTCTTCTTACCAGCCAGATTAAGAATCTAATTAGTCAATTTTTCCCTTCCTCTGGAGCAATCTAGCCTTGATTTGCA